TAAGTGTGAACAAAACAAGATGGTGTGCATGTGATCAACAACATGCACAAGCATCTTCATAAGAGGCCTTTTTTTCACTTCGCTTCAAGTGCTGTAATCTTTCACAACACAAAATGACTTATATGTGTAACAAATGTAGAAATATATATGGTTAAGACTTATATTTATGCAAACACAAGTTTCATGAAATTCAAAATATCAAAAGGAATAATTTTGTATAGGTTAATCCCCTTTGAATATAAATGCTAATGTAAAATCCATAGGCAGCCTTACTATTACTACTTCCGTTTCTTTTCCAACTAAAGGAGTGAGTCCATCAATCAAGGACTCACCTGCAGCCTCTTGGTGACTGTTGCTTTTCACCTATTGTGTAAAAGACCAAAAATCTATGGTATATGAAATTTGGCTAACTGCTAAGTTTGCTAATGCTACATCCACATGAACGTGCATGCACAAAAATCAAACTAATGCGGTAGAAAAGGGTCTCTGTGAGCTCTGTTTTATTCTTTTTTCTTCAAAAACGATCAAGATAAATTTCAAGTGATTTTCAGAACGACTGTATGAGAAATACCAGGTTAGGAGTACTTTCAGATATACGTATGTTTCTTATATTTAGAAGGTTTATCTTTGCCTATATACATAAGATAAATGCATAAGTTGCAAATGTTATTGAATATAACATTACAAGTATATTTAGGAAAATGCATCTCATATTGAATTTGTGTGAGGGTAATGTCTTGGAGCTCATAACATATTATTGTATTAAGAATTGCATTTTGGCAAGGTGACCCATTGTGTACAAATGGCCCCTATCATGTGGCGTTCCTCGTGGATTTGTTATTAGGCCTGTTATTTTTTTCTTTGTATACTTTTAGTTATTCTCAGTTATACCTGTTTATTTGTTAAATCAATGTGATCTTATTTTAATGCAACACGGATGAGACAAAATAACCTTCCCTTGCAACATTATGAGAGGACTCGTTTGTCTGTTTTTAGTGTATAGACGATTTTAAGGCTTGCGGGATTATACATCTTCTACATGTCAAAAGACACAATATATAGGTATTATGCTTTAAAACCTTTAGGACTTTGGTGATACATTTTTAAACCTTGAAAAATATTAATGTATCAGTTATTTAATTGATTTTATTTTGTTTCATTCTTTTGGAAGTAAGAACTCAGGTAAACAAAAACAAAAAACAAAAAAACAACACAATTGGAAGGGAAGTGTATTAAACTGAAAAAAAGACTAAAAGGGACATAACTGTGAAAATAACTGTCTAAAATATTGTTATCAGCCAGTGGGCCTTTATGTAGGGCTACAGGTAGTCACTCTTTGGTGACATGTTGTGTACCACAGTCAACAAAGAACAAAGGTAGAGAGGGTAAGAGTTCTTTCAGAAGTACAGAAATAAAATTTATAGACAAGATTTGAATGGCTTTAAGACCATCTCCAAGCAGGTTGATGTTTTTGTCACTACAGATGGACATATTATTCAGATATTAAGGATCAATGGGACTGTAGCCAATCTCCCTGGATGTGGCTGCAAGAGAAGACTTGATGACAAATCAAAAAGACAGATATTATGAATAGTAACAGAAGAGCCAAGAACAACTTCTAAAGAGATTAATGGTGAGCTTTAAGCTCAAGGAACGTCCGTGTCAGATTTCATCATCTATTGTTGTTTGAGCCAAAGTGGACTTAATAGGGAAAACGACCAAGAAGCTGAAACAAATCATACATTTGCCAAGCTACATGCTGACAAACCAAAAAGCTTCTGGAAAAATGTCCGATAGATGAGACAAACATTTAAGACAAAAAAAACTTTTTGCCAAGGCACATAAGCTGTATTATCTATAATACAATATGATAAATGAAAATAAACCTCTGTCCCTACTGTGAAACATGGGGGAGGCTCTATTTATGGGATGCTTTGCTTCATGTGGCACACAGTGTTTTGTATCTTTGCAGGGTACAATGCTGCTCAGAGCCAAAAGGCTCTGTCCTACTTGCAGGTCATTGTGGGTCGTAAAACAGGATACTGACCCAAAACACAG